ACACTTAATTTCTGGCAATATTATCGGCTTGATTGCCATTGGAAGAGAACTGAAGTGAGCTGGACAATGACATCACTGAATCAATGATGAACTGACTTTAACTGAAACATTGACTATTTACTATTGTCCTCTTGCATTATCGACACACTATTATCCTGTTTAACACTGCAAAGCTGCTTTGACACAGTCTGTATTGTATAAAGTGCTATATAAATAAAGGTGACTTGACTTGACATAATACAAGTTAAATACATTGTAACTATGAACTAATCATCTGTTAAGCAGTATATCAATTAAGGATGTAAATGTTCCTAATGAATGTTAATTATTAATGAATGCAAGCTTTTTATATTGAGGATCCCTGAATTGGCTGAGAATCTGGGTGGGGTATCCCTGTGTCTTGAAACTCTAGAATTATGTACTTTTTTCGGTTCTTTATCATTCTGCCACCTTCAGTCTTTTTCTTCCTCCCTGAAGAAATAAAAACAATGAATTTGAGAGCTCACGGGGTAAAAACACATTTTAAAAACATATTCCTACCTGTTAATTGGACCTCAGTGGGTTTCCAGTGGAATTACTCATTAGTCATTATCCCAGTTCATTTAATCACCACCCCTGATTTATTAGCTAGTTGGTGAATATTGGTTATATCCAGTCATTTAAGCTGCTTTATTACATAATGAAAGAAAATATCTTACTCAGATTAGTGAAACCAAATTTTGTGTGACATTCATCTGAATGAAAACTAGTTCCACGCTGTCAAAGAGACAAAATTGTAAAACATTGCAATTGTATCTCTTCCCCATCATGCCATGCTAGTCGAGAGAGTTTCATCATTGTTCTTATCTAAGAATGCAAACAATGCCACACCACCCTCCACACACCCGTTCTCTCAACATCTCTTCGCCCGCCCATACATCCACCTTTTTTGGACAAGCTTCTATGACAGAGACCATGCCTGTTAACGTGTATAGAGCAGACAACATCTGATCAAGAGAAACCTATTTGTGACAAATTTTTTTTTTTTCCATGTGTTTATACAGCATCAATTGTTTTTGTGGGTTCTTCTAAACCAACACACAGGACGACAATGACCTCATATTGTAGCAAATCTTAATTTCCTAAAAATATAAGTCAGTGACTGTAGGAAAAAGGAAAATTATTACACAAGGGAAATCATGAAATTCTAAAGTCAACTGTCATCTAAACATTGGTTTAGATAATGAGATCAAACTGTCTACACAGCAGCATCAGAAGATCACTGCTGACATTGTTGGATGCTCTTAGATGAGTCCTGAAGATTTCATACGTTATTTTGTTCCATTTCATGGGTCAGAAAATTCCATAATGGGTCAGATAAGGATCAGATAAGGGAGACATCCAAAATGTGTACTGCTGGGTTGCCTCCAGGATTTTGAAGTAGGGAAACACTGGATTACATAAAACATAGCACATACAATTACTAAAAAAAAGTAATAGTTTTTCTGAACTGTTCTAATGTCTACTTTTTTTTTGTTTCTGTTCTATTACAGAACTTATACAATCTTTGTTTCTTTATGCCTTCTATAACATTTTACTAGAACTATATTGTGTTTGTCTTTGAAGTGTCACGTTTGCATTACCGTGTCGAAACAATGGACCAACACCCAGCAGCCTAGTGGAGGAACAAGAACGTCAGCCCTTACAGGAACTGAGCTTAGGCAGCCAGGACACTCCTTTCACTGTTTCTATCATTTTTTTTATACATCTGCTTTTATTGGGAGACCCTGATTACTGCATGTTTACACAACACCTTTATTTAGCTGTTCAATTGTATGTACATTACACATGCATTAATCAGATTTGACTAGTGGTGAGTTTAGATCTGACCTCTATACAACAATTCTGATATCTAAGAACATGCTTGCAGATGATCAACAGACAGTCAGTTTGTCTGGCTTGCTTTGTTACAAATTAAGCTCTTGACCTGATCCCAGTGCAGCTGATACTGTCCTGCACTGGCCTAAATGTTTTATTTTTATTTATTTTTGGAAAACTAACAAAATAAATAAATGGTGCTGATTATATATCATACAAAGACAAGGAAATGTTTCTATTTAGCAGAGCAGATAGGGAGCCCAATTTGGAACGAAATTCATATTGTAATTCTAATATTGTCATTAATTCAAATAAACTACTGATGTGGTTAAATAAAATAAATATATATATATATATACAAAAATGTGCATTAGAGATTTAGAAAATAGTGGTCTGTCGTCTTGATGTAGTATTGCCCAGAAATCCAAAACCACATTTTTTTTTTTTCCAGATTTTGTTACTGTTAAAAATATATATTATGAAATACTTTTTCAGATATTTTGTCTATTTCATGTCTCTGTTCTTCATCACCCATGAAAATGACTTTTAACCACTGTAGTGTATTTTTAACAAACCATAATAATTCCAACTTGTGTTTAGAAAGCAGAGGTTATATTATAACCAAAACAATCAGCATAAGGGCCCACGGAACTAGTTATCCTTTCTGGAATGTTTCAGTTTCCTTATTTTATTTAGGCTAATAAATTCAGTACATGCTCTAAGTGGAATGGAGGTGTAAATTTTAAAATGAGAATAAAATATCACTGACCAAGAAACCAATTATATTCACAAATTGGTTGTTGTAACCTCCAGCAAATAACATTGTTGAAAAATTACAGATCATTTTTTGATTGTAACGGGTTAACCTATTACAGATTTCAGATCTAATGTTCCCAGGAAAATATAGAGTTAACCATCTTTACACCTTCACTCTCTGGGCTCTGGTTACCCAAGTCGGTCTAAAACTGATCTCAGGCCTGCCTGCCAACAGAACAGAATCAAAACCTAGAGGATAAAATAACAAACAGCACTCACTTGCTTATCTTGGAATCATCTTTCATCGTGTTTTCCTTCTTCTTGAACATCCTAAAAGTTGTAGTGAGGTGAGATTCACCTTCTCTGCCGTTGGTGTGCTTGTGAATCTGTCTCACTTCTGTTTATCCTTTACCTCCACAAACTTCTCTGTACACACTTTCTGCCTCTCTAGAACTGTCATACAGCAGTGAGGTAAAGCTGTTCTTCTGTCTCCACTCCGCCCTGAGTAACAGGTGTTGGGCGACACCCAGACCACCTCCTTTTGTAGAACCGGGCAGACCAGTTTCACCTTCCCATTTTTTCACCCACACACACACGCACGCACACACACATTTACATCTTATCATTCATCTGTTTTTTTTTTTAAAAATCTTTTAGCCTAGTTGTTATTATTAAAAGTTATAACAAAAGGAAGAAATATGTCACAACATAACCAATTAGCCCTAAATTAGATTGTGACCAGCAAATCACTGTAATCTTCTCTGAATTATAGTGATTGAGTATTTTGTTTATGAAAATTGACCCAGCTTTGTTAGACATGTTGAAGAATAATTTTTTATTAACAGTAGTTCAATATAACCAGGACTTCATATGAATTATTTTCAGGACACTGTCCTTTTTAAGACTTGTTAGCTTGTTAAATGTGTATCTGTGAATGTAACATGGTGTGGAATGTTGTTGGGTCACTTTCTCTCAGGGCCGTGGTAGTTAGTGGTAGCGCACATTTCTAACATGTACTGTCACATGGTAGGGTGTGACAGAGATGCAGGCTTAATGTCTTGCCCTAGTCACTCCCTCTTTCTCTCTACACCCTTTCTTAAATTAACCCAGTTCATTTATCCACCCCCCACACCTCGGGGTGGGTTGTAACACTATTATATATATATATATATATATATACACACACATATATTCAGATGGAAGTTTTGAGTAAATGTTATAAAATTAATTTAAAATACATTTTTCATACCTAATTATCTTCTCAATTTTTTTAAAAATAATTATTTTATTTTTTTGATGGTGGTAGATTTCATCCCAATATTTACTTTCAAAGTTGTTAAACTGATGGTGTTACAAGTCACCCCATCTACCTTATCTCTTATTTTCTTTCTTTTTGCGCTGTTCACTTAAATAGTTTAACATATGCAGCCTCTCAATAGGATGTTGTAAAAACTTCATCTATAATTATATAATCACAGGAAAATGTTTGAAGTAATTTTTTGATGTAATTTAAGATTACATAAAGCATGTCATGTCCACTAATCAGTATTTCTCCGATTCAAGTGTATCTGTGTTCTGCCACATTACAGTCTTCATACACTATGAAAATCATGAGTGATGTCCATACAGCTTGATACTTTACTTACAAAGACCAAAAAAATTAAATAAAATCAACAGAACACTTAATCCCAGTCTGGGATTGGATGAGGATTATTCACATTGGGGTGTGGTACTTGCATGTATATAACAACGGATGTTTTATTTTGGGCTTTTTAATTAGCTGTCCATCTCCTTCAAACAAAAGAAACCAAACAATTGTTGACAGACACTTCATTTTGCTAATAGAGGTCTTAAGTTCCTGAACTTCACCTTCACTAAATTAAAATTTAAAGGATTTTTAGTTGACAATGGAATTTCTGTGCTTTGATATTATAACCAATTAACCCCATTACCAAACATCATAAAATCCAAGCTGCAACCAAATAGGAGAAAGCAGCCTTCTAACTAAAAACTTAGTTTAAACTCCCTTGTGTGTAACATTCCTCAGGCCTGAAATGCACCCTGCCTGGAACGCTGTGCATGTGGTCAGGAATGAAGATGAACAGATGACAACAGAAAGCTGTCAAGAGCTGTGATAGAGATCTACTCGAGACTTCTTATCATATAGGTGGAAAGTGACTAAAGTTTAATCTAGACTCATGCATTTGGTATGCTTACAGACCTGATTTGCATGTATAGAAACACACAGGCAGACAAACCTTTAATATCTGACCCAGTTCAAATCCATGGTACATGCAGTGATGACCAAAAAAAAAGTTTACTTTTTTTAAATCAGGAGACTTCAAACTAAAAATCATTCAGTTTCATAATTTATAACATCCTATCCATTTTAGGATCATCATCATGGTGTTTGTTGAAGATTAAATAAATTCTCACCAACATTTGCTCACAAAACTGACAAAAGGAATGAAAAAAAAAAAAAATGAAAAAATTAGCAAAAACTCATCTGCAAGTTGAAAGCAATTAGTTAGAACAAGGGAATCTTTAGAACAAAAGATAGCAAATTATAGTAGGAAACAATCACAAATAAAACACTAGCAAATCGCTTGCTTCCTCTTTATGGCTTTGTATTAAGATGATAGTTTAAAATATAAGTCATGATTTGTAAACAAAATTATGCCAGTTTATATTTCTAAGGTACATTACAGATGATATATCCTATAGTCCTTATCTATACATCAGACAGGTTAATGATGAGGGTAATTCCTGTGTTCTGTCACAGTTGATTGTTCAAGTGACTGTAACATCCTCTAATAGAATAAACATTGAGTTCATCATGTCATCATAATGACTGACATGAATGATTGACCACTAAAGCCCACAGTTGGAACAAATATTTGAGATCCTCAGCGGTGTTAAGTATAGACTTCTTCAGTGAAACAATAAGCCCACTTTTGTAATGTGCTAGGCAGACTGAGATCTAGGCAAACAAAGGCATCTAAGTAAAAAAAAAAAAATCAAATCAAATAAAGATAGACTAAACAAACTCTGGATGATAGAGGGTGTAGAGGCACGAAGCATTACCACTGATTAATATACTTGGCAGAATTTATATAACCCCAAAAAAAAGTCAGTATGAATTTACTACCAAACAGGCTGCACTTACACCTCTTAAACCAATTATGGCATGTTTTGGGGAAATGGTTTGACTGTGTAAGGATCCATAACTCTTGGTCTTGATGAGATATTTATATTCAGATGACTTCAAATACAGCCAAACGGGCCAGATTTAGCTTCCAAAGCCAAAGAAGCCTCTAAAGTAGCCAGTGATGCCACCCTTGCCCTTCTGCTCCACCTTATCATCAAGAGGTGGAAAAGCCACATGGTTGAGAGCCAGGTCAAAGAAGAGAGGCTTGCATGGAATTGGCTGGAAATCTGGAGGGAACTGCACCAGATTGGGCTGCTTGCTCAAGAGGGTGGGGTCTAGCCGGAAATGATCCAAACGATCAGACAGAGGCTATAGATAAAACAGAAAAAAAAGCTTTAAAATTCAGAAACAACCTTCTTATTACAAGACCAGCTCATAATGTGCTTTAACTTAAATACAAACTGCCATCATTCACAAAACTCAACACAGTCCACGCCCTTTGCATGTTTGTTCATTTGTGAAGTTGTCATGGAAACCAAATACATTGCATGCTGACTTCCAAGAAGGGCTACTCTGAAAAGATGACTAAAAACAGAGAAATATAGGCTATAATAATCCTTGCTGTCATTAAAGGAATAGTTCACCAAAAAAAACAAACGCTTAAAATATACTTACCCCCAGGCCATCATGGTTGAGTTGGTTTCTTCATCCGAACAGATTTGGAGAATTTTATCATTACAATTTGTTTAATTTGGTGAGCAGGTTAATGCAAAATTTCTCAAAATCTGTTCAGATGAAGAAACAAACTCATCTACATATTAGATTGCCTGAGGGGGAGTACATTTTCAGCAATTTTTGGGTGAACTATTCCTTTAAATCATTCAAATGTAGCATGTCATGGGAAAAGTGCATACCCATTACTTATATTTCTATTTCTACACTATCTGAATTTAAGCTCTAAACAGAAATATAAGTAAAGGTTTAACTTCTGGATTTCATGCAATTTGTGTGCTTAACTCATAATTTTAATTTATAATTTGCTGGGCTTTCGAAGCAACTTCATTTGGATATAATTTATACCTTATGGAAACAGCAACATTTCAGTTCTGAAATAACATTTATTGAATAAAAAAACAGTGCAATGTGAATCATAAATACAGACAGGTGCAATAATTTGGGCACCCAATGTAATAATCACATCAATATTTTGTAGAACCTCATTTTGCTAAAATAACAGCATGTGGACACTTCTTATAGCCACTGATATGTCACTGAATTCTGACTGTAGGTATTTTGGACCATTCTTCCTTGCAAAATGTCTCCAGATCAGTCAGGTTTGATGGCTGCCAAGTGTGGACAGCCCACTTCAAATCAATCCATAGATTTTCAATGATGTTCAAGTCTGGGGAGTGGGATGACCATTCTAGAAAGTTTGATCTGTGTCTGTGCATGAATTCCATGGTAGATTTGGAACAATGGTTTGGATCATTGTCCTGCTAAAACAACCAACCCTGGTGTAAATTCAACCTCTTGACTGATTCTTGAACACTGTTCTTAAGAATCTGCTGATACTGGATGGAATCCATGTGACTCTCAACTTTGACAAGGTTCCCAGTACTTGTGCTTGGAACACTTTTTTTCTGCCATGCAAAATGCTTCTGGTTGTGACCCAAAGGTTGCGAGTTCGAGTCTCAAGTCCGGCAGGGATTGTAGGTGGGGGGAGTGAATGTACAGTGCTCTCTTCCACCTTCAATACCACGACTGAGGTGCCCTTGAGCAAGGCACCAAACCCCCAACTGCTCCCCGGGCACCGCAGCATAAATGGCTGCCCACTGCTCCGGGTGTGTGTTCACTGCTGTGTGTGTGCACTTAGGATGGGTTAAACGCAGAGCACTAATTCCTAGTATGGGTAACCATATTTGGCCACATGTCACGTCACTTTCATTATTCCAAAATAGTTCTGGTTCGTCCAGATGAGCCTTTGCATATCTCAAACAGTTCTGCTTGTTGGCAGAATGCAGAAAAGGGTTTTTCTGCATCACGCTTCAATTGAGCTGTTCCTTGTGAAAAGTGCACTGGACTGTGGAATGATTTACAATGACACTACCAGCAGCAAGATGTTCTTGGAGCTTTTTGGAGGTTGTCTCGGGTTTGTCTGTGACCATTCTAACCATTCTATGCCCTTCCGTTTCAGATATTTTTCTCGGCCTACCACGTTTCCTTCACAAGGACTGTTCAGGTGGTATTCCATTTTCTATACTATATTTCTGATTGTGGAGACAGAGACCTTAAAAGTCACATATTTTACACCTTTCTGGAGTTTTATTTTAAAGGGGTCATATGATGCGAAACTGTTCAAATGCGGAGTTTGCGCATCGTGTGTGTGCGCGTGTGTGAGAGAGAGAGAGAGAGACAGGGTCACATCACAGTCAAATGTGCTTACAACAGGATGTTTCAGAATGGTAATGGTAAAATTCTTTTTTTTTTCCCAAACACCTACTACAGTAAATACAAACCTGACCAGCCAAGCGTTTGCGATCATGTGAACTTGAAGACACTTGTACAAATGCGGATGGGTGACATGAATGGAAATGATTCCAGATTGGCGATGTAGTATTTGGTTTCTGTATTCTGTACTGTATTTTCCTGCGCTCAAACCTGCCAATCTAAAGGATCAAACGCTGTGTATGGCGTTTGAGGTAATTTGTGAATTAGCATAGACTTATAGTCTAAATAAAACTATTTGCAACTGTTACTATTATTACACTTAAGTTGTTGTTAATATACAAAACTTTGTATTATGCTTGTTATAGAGTGTGTGACGTCACGTGCACTACCACGTGGTTGTCACGGCGACCGTCACAGTCCTACTGTGCAATGATGTAGTTTCCTGACATCCTGACTGAACAGCGTTTTCTCTACATGTTTTCGTGTTGTTGTTGCTCAGCAATGGCATGGACGCGATGTTGTCTGGGGGTTTGGCAAAAGGAGAGTGGGACTGTGGGCAGTGCTCGGGGTGGTGACTGAGTAGTTCTGACGTCACCTTTTCACGGAAGTCACAACGGTTTGTGATAAATCACAGCTACTTTATGCAGGCTGTGTGCATTTGACTGTGGATTGACTGTTTTGAAACTTGTATGGTAGTTACATAGCACCTAGACCTCAGTTATCATGAAAAAAGCCAGAAAATTTCAGTTTTGACAATATGGGACCTTTAAACCTTTGTGATAATTTTCTGTATCTTTCTCCTAATTCATATTTACAAATTATCCTAGTTTTTAGGTCATTAGGAAGTTCTTTTGAGGTTCCCATGTTGCTACTTTCCAGTAAAGAATCTAAGAAAAGCACAACTAGAAATTAGCAACCTTAAATATCCTTTTCATGATTGGTTGCACCCGTGTTTGCAGCGTAAGGTTAATTGAGTCAATCAAATCAATTCTGTGTTGCAATCAATCAGCATTAAGTGACTGCAGGTATTCAAATAAACTCAAATTAAAAGGATGCCCAAACTTTTGCACAGTCAATTTTATTTTATAACTCAATTCTGCTACACCAAGAATTTCTCTCTGAAAAACATTACACTATCCAGCTTTCTCTAGAAACTGAAAGGCATATCACTACGATCGTATAAAGACAGAGCAAATTATTATGTAGCCTCAGAGAGGTGCCCAAACATTTGTATAAAACTGTACTTAAGCAAAATGCATGATAAATTGAAAGCATTCTGTTTAAGGGTGTGTCATTTTTTTTATAAATTCAAATGTATTTCATTTTTTTATGAAGGAATTACAAATGCAGACAGTTAATTGCACATAGGGTGCAAGAGAGAATGTGTATGTCTGTATGTGTTAGGCCTGTGATGGACCGGTCATCCATCCAGGGTGTTTCTCTGTTTTTGGCCTGAGATGCTGGGATAGGCTCCAGCATCCCTACATAGGACAAGCAGTTTGGAGAATGGATAAATAAATTATGAAGGATAACAGATTGGAGTTGCTTTTTTCTGTGTTGAACATGCCTTCTGCAAGCTATATTTCAATGGCTTTGAAAAGTGGATACATGTCCCACCCACAAATGATGCCTATGCCTTCATTTCAAACCCCTATGCTGTTATTTCACCCATGGAACACGAAAGTAGAGAATTTTGTAGAATCTTTACATGGCTCTTTAATAGAGCTTTTTTGGTGTGCTGGTACTCTTTGGTGCTTGACAGATGTGGTCACTATGAACTGGAAAGAGTTCTTCAAATACACAGGTTTGAAACAAACAAAAGGTAAACAACGACAATTTTCATTTTTGAGAGAACTATTCATTTAAATAATCCCAGAGTGCAGCACACCATGAAGCTGCAAAACATACAAAGCAATCTGCCAAGCAACATTCCACTGTTCTACTCCTCCTCCTTTCTCTAAACACTTCTGTGTATGAGTATCTGAAGAGCAGTTAAATGTCTGCATGTATTGTCTAAAACTGTAAACTAGACATGACCTTGAGCTTGTGAATAACAATCAGCAAATGTTTTTTTTAAAAGTTAATTGCAAAACATTGTAATATCATATATATATAACACCTTTGAATATTTTATTTAATCTGGGGCAAACTAATAACGCTAATAATGGTAAACTCGTAGAAAATGTTTGGAAATATTCAGTGAAGTTTCCATTTGTCCTTTCTTACCGTAGTGTCTTTAATCTGCTGCTGTGGGGGCACCTCAGCAACATCCTCTGTGTCTAAAACACAAATACAATGTCACAGTCAGTTGCAGCTAACAAAGCTTTCAAAACCTATAGCAAATGTGTCTGTGGATGAGGGCGGAAGGTCAACACAAGACTTTCTGGCTCATTAAAGGGATAGTTCACCCAAAAATGAAAATTCTGTCTTTAATTACTCACCCTCATGTCGTTCCAAACCCATAAGACCTTTGTTCATCTTTGGAACACAAATTAAGATATTTTTGATGAAATACGAGAGCTTTCTGACCCTGCATAGACAGCAAGGGAACTACCACGTTCAAGGCCCAGAAACATAGTAAGGACATCGTTAAAATAGTCCATGTGACATCAGTGGTTCAACTGTAATTTTATGAAGCTATGAGAGTACTTTTTGTTTGCAAAGAAAACAAAAATAAAGACTTTATTAAACAATTCTTGAATAAAGAGAAGAATTGTTGAATAAAGTCATTATTTTTGTGAACCACTCGGATCTCTGATTTCATCCAAAAATATCTTAATTTGTGCTCCGAAGATGAACAAAGGTCTTACAGGTTTGGAACGACATGAGGGTGAGTAACTAATGACAGAATTTTCATTCTTGTCTGAACTATCCTTTTAAGAATGACTGGATCCTTGTGCAATGGAAAAGGTTGCAGTCATGCTCACCCACCTAAGATGGCTGCAGCTTGGAGGGAGTACTTTTCAGCACTGACCTCAGCAATCAGCTCCTGGACATCAGGAAGATCCTAAGAGAAATGGAGTATCAGTATGAGGGCTAAACTGAGTGCCAAAATGTTTATGTAGTGGAACTCATTGAATTATAGGTGTGTTGCATGATGGATAGTGTGCAGTTTAGTTGTTTTATTGTAGTTTATGTATTCACTGTATATTGTGGTTAGGGTAGTGATGGGTTGCTGTATGTATTATATGTACGTAGTATGTTACTTGTATTTAAATAGCAGATATCGTATTGTATGTGTCCAATACAAATTTCCTTTGGGACAATAAGGTTTAAATAATCTAATCTAATCTAATTGCATATATCTATTTCAACTAGAAGAACTACATAGCTGAAAGTGAAACTTCGAAACTACAAATATAATCTTATTGAAAATTAGTTTTTTATGATTTGTGTACCGATTAAAAGCAATCTTGTGGCAGGATATGTGTTGAGAAGTTTGATAAAATGCCCAAATCAATCGTACAATAACACCAGAAAATTGCAGGATTTTTCCTTTATTAGATAAAAGTAATGGCAGATTACACTCATTGCTAGCGTATTTAAATCAACTGGTAATTTCAATGGTATGATTTTAGGGTCAGCCAAAATGACCGGTCCCAAAATGCCGCTGCAAGATTAATCTTTAATGAGCCGAAAAAGAACGCATGTCACACCTCTGTTCATCAATTTGCACTGGCTACCAGTAGCTGCTCGCATTAAATTCAAGGCATTAATGTTTGCCTACAAAACCACCACTGGCTCTGCACCCATTTACCTAAATTCATTACTTCAGCGTTATGTGCCCTCTAGAAGCTTGCGTTCTGCAAGTGAACGGCGTATTATTATTTTTATTGTCCTCATTTGTAAGTTGCTTTGGATAAAAGCATCTGCTAAATGACTAAATGTAACTGTAAAAGGCACCACCATGGCAAAATGATGACCAAAAATTCTCTCTACACAATTCAACATGCTAACAAAATCTATAATACACTTTTAATAATATTTTTAGATTCGATGCCATCACAATTTTGTAAGGGAAGTAATGTGTAGTGTTTGGTACCTTAAGGCTGTTATTGAAGCTCTTGGCTTTGGACTGGACCTCTCTCGTATATTTCAGAACCCTTTCATACAGAACCAGAGCTTCACTCCATTTCTTCACCAGAACATAGGACTGAGCTATATAGAAACACCTGTCCAAAGCGCAAGGACACAAAATATTTCAAAAGTATTCCTCATTTTTCTACTTTAACAGAGGACTGATAGAACATGTAAGCAAGCACACATTGCCTTGTTTCTGGTATTAAGATGCGATCACAAAACGTTTTAGCCCGTTTCCACCTGAATTTAGCACTGACCACTTGTGATTGGATAACCAAAAACACATCATACCAGGTGGAATCAAGGCCATACATAAGCAGTCATCAAGGATTAACTCGCCTGTAAGCTTTGTAGACCAGTGTCTTGAGTGCTACTTCTTTCTGGAAGGTGTGGTCCTCCTCTAGACCCTGCAGTGATGACAGCTCAGCAAGACTCTAAAGAAAGAATACATAAAATAGTGTAAAAAGAAAAGAAATTAGAAGCAAAAGAGGCATACAGTTCAGGTGTGATGCTTCATGCTTTAGTTACTCCTCTTGATCCTTTGCCTGTCTGCTACTCACAATTCCTGCTCAAGACCATTACGTAAAAGTCAGTTTTAATCACTTTCCTTTTGAATGTAGTTATTTGTTGTGATTAGGGCTGCACGATAAATCGCATGCGATATTTAACGCGCATCTTGTCAGAAAGCCGGTTCTGTAATCAGCGGTAAATCTCCATCACGTGCGTGCTTTCACATTGAGCAGCATTAACTACACAGAGCCGTTGTTCACTGAGCACGCACGTGATAGAGATTTACCGCTGATTACAGAACCGGCTTTACTGATAAGATGCGCGTTAAATATTGCATGCGATTTATCGTGCAGCCCTAGTTGTGATGTAACAATACATTGTGCCACAATATGTTATGGTACAAAATGTGACAATTCGTAGTGGATGATATTTAGGATACTCTATATCATTAATCACAGTATAGTGTTAAACATAATGTTGAGTTAGTTGAAATGTGTTTTCAGAGATCTGATCATAAGCGATCAGACGCATTACCATCTCCACCTGGTATTAACATGCATTTCAAATGCATTATTTGTGACCATTTTTTGTTTGATTTCTTTGTGATACTCCCCTCTTATTTCGTCACACTCTATAGACCAATTTGGAGTAGACGTCACAGTTACGTCACATGCAGCTGCGCGCGCATTGTGGTGGCAGAAAAACACTGGGAACAAGTGGAGGGAAACGAGTAAAATCCATGGAATAAGAGAAAAAATGTATTGTTGTGCTTTTGGATGTCAGAATCGGAATGGAAATCATTTTTATATAATTATCTTGCCATCTTTCTTATGCTACTTTACTTAAAGCCATCAAAGACTACTTATAAGTATAGTAATAATATTTTTTTCTCCAACAGCCATAAGATCAGATATCAGATCAGCTGAATGTGTAATAAGCCATATTTGCTTTGAACTATTTTTAATGTAATATCAGTTTGATTATTTTGACGGTTCCCCAACAGACAAACTGACTATAAGTAACTTTGCAAGTACGTCAACATTCTACCAACCCT